CCCACACACTCCTCAGATAGACTTTGAGTTACACTGACACTACCTGTTCTTGGCACTGCTACTGCTCCCTTTTAATTTTTTTAGATTTTTCTTCATCTTCCCCTCCCCCTAATTCTTTGGTAGCTCCTGTCCTGAATGTAGAGTTGGTTCATCCATCCATCCATCCTTCAACAAAAACTTTATTGAGCACCTGCTAAGTGCCAGGCACTGTGCTAGACACAGGGACACAGTCCTAAAGAAGGTGGAGCTCATGGTCTAGTAAGGGAGATAGACATGCAATAGATAATCACACAAGTCATCAATTAGCCACCATTTGGTGAATGCCTGAAACCGAAGGATAGGAAACAAAGATAAAAAGGATAAAAAGGCGTCCACCTCATCTGCAGAGACAAAGAAGGCATCAAGGAAACTTGAAGGATAGGGAATTAACCTGAGGGTCTGGGGAAGACCAGTGTGGACAGAAGGCAGGCCAGAAGCAGAAGGGAGCAGAGAAAGGACAATGAGGCTGGGAGTGAGAGAGTGAGATAGAATCCTAGGTGCGGGGCCTTAGGGTCCGTTTTAAGAGTGTTCTTTGGACTTTATTCAAGTTTAGTTTATTGAAGTATAGTTGATTTACAACATTGTGTTAATTTCTGCTTTACAGCAAAGCAATTCAGTTATATACATTCTTTATATATATATACATTCTTTTTCATATTCTTTCCCATTATGGTTTATCACAGGATATTGAATATAGTTCCCTGTGCTATACAGTAGGACCTTGTTGTTTATCTGTTCTCTATATTAAACAGTTTGTATCTGCTAATCCCAAACTCCCAATTCATCCCTCCCCCACCCCCCCTCAGTAACCACAAGTCTTTGGACTTTATTCTAAGGTCAATTTTTGTGTTTTTACAAGAGCATTCTGGCTACTGTGTGGATTGGAGGGGCTGGAGAGAAGCAGGGAGACCATGGGGAAGCTATGATGGTTGCCAGTTTGGTAGCTTGGATCAGGCTGGCAGCCATGGAGATGGAGAGAAGTGAGCAGATGCTAGACTTGTTTGGGAGGCAGGATGAGATGATGGAGTGAACACAAACAGTGCTGAGGGTGAGGGGTCGAGGATACTTTAGGCTTGTGCCTGGGCACCATGGGAGGACATGGAGTTCTCACTGCAATTAGGGAGACTTGGGAGGGGCAGGTGAGGGGCATGCAGAATTCACTTTAGGGCTGGCTGAGCAGGGCAGCCAGGTGCCCAGCCTTGATGGTGACTCCTCGGCAGGGGCCAGTGGGAAGGTAGACCCCGTGTATGAGACCCTGCGCTATGGCACCTCCCTGGCCCTGATGAACCGCTCCAGCTTCAGCAGCACCTCTGAGTCCCCCACAAGGAGCCTGGTATGGGGGACACCGGGGGAGGGCGGGGGTCCCAGAGGGTGGGGGGCTCAGCCCTCCCCTCTCTGTGTCCCCAGAGCGAGCGGGATGAGCTCACCGAGGATGGGGAGGGCAGCATCCGCAGCTCAGAGGAGGGCCCTGGCGACAGTGGTGAGTGGGGTTGGGGACCAGGGGCAGGCGCGGAGCACAGTGGGGGCCACCACCTGCAGCCTCACACTCTGGCCCCACCCCAGCATCTCCAGTATTCACAGCCCCAGCCGAGAGCGAAGGGTCAGGACCAGAGGAGAAGAGCCCAGGACAACAGGTGAGGCTGGGATGGCACTGAGCCTCGGCAGGCCAGGTGGGAAGGGGACATCCTTCTCCTTGTCACTGATCCCTAGGTGAGTGAGAGTATGCTGAGTGGGAGTCTCACTGTGCCATCATTTTCCCTCAATCTACAGGGATGGGCAATGCCAGGGTGAGTGGGGATGGGCAATGCCAGGGTCAGTAGGCATGGGAGGCAGGGGTGTTACCCCTCCCACACTGACCCCATGCCTACTGAGCCCACTCCTACTCCCCAAGGGTGGGCAGTCTCAGTGCAGCAGGAAAAGGAGGCTCCCCTTCCCATCCCTGGCCCAGTCCCTCAGGGGTGTGTGAGCGCAGCAGGCAGGAGACTCTGACCTCTCCCTGTCACTGACCCATGTCCTAGCCCCAGGGTAGGCAAGATCAGGGCAAGGGGAGAGTGGGTGGAGTAATAAAGGTGTCCTTCTCCCAGCAATGACCCCGAGCTTTTCCGCAGCCCCCTAGACCTCCCCTCCGGAAGGATGTGGGGCCCATGTACTCCTACGTGGCGCTCTACAAGTTTCTGCCCCAGGAAAACAATGATCTGGCTTTGCAGTAAGTCCTCCAGTGGTCCAGCCTCCCCCCTACCTCTGCCCCCACTCCAGGGGGCTGCCTGCCTCCAACCTCAGGGCTCTGCACTCCCAGACCTTGGAACATGAGTGTGAGGGGGACCTTCGGGAACCTCCGCCTGGCATGCTGGAGGCTACTGAGCCCCCAGATGAGACAGAGGTGCCAGGATCCAAGAGGGTGGGTACTGATGCCATGTCCCCTGCCCTTGCCAGGCCTCTGTCCTGCAGTGTCTGTGTACCTATGGTCACACAGGGGCCATCGAGCACTCTTGCAGGGGACCTGGGGGTCTAGGACTGTTGGGATGCAGGGCGGGCAGGTCCCTCCTGCCCCACATGCTACGCCCCCCACCCCCCGACTCTCTTGTCCCAGGCCTGGAGACCGGATCATGCTGGTGGATGACTCTAACGAGGACTGGTGGAAGGTGATGTGGCAGGGTGGGGAGCAGAGGGTGAGCAGTGGTAGGCACCCGACTAACCTAGAGCCATACAGGGCACTTTCCCTAATAACCCCCCTTCCTCCATGACCTAGCCAGGCCTAGGCTCACCCTCAGGTCTTGCCTTTACTTCACCCCTCTGTGCCCCAGTCTTGTCCCTCTGCCTACCTTGTGCCCTTCCCAACCCAGAATCCCCCGACTAAGGGCTCAAACACAAAGAACCCAGGATCTACAGGATGATGGCCTTGGCTCTGAGTGGATATTAGGTCTAGAGAAAGCAGTTGGTTTGGGCAGCACAGCGCTCACTGCCAGCTTCATTCCAGGGCAAGATCGGCGACCGGGTTGGCTTCTTCCCAGCCAATTTTGTGCAGCGGGTGAGGCCGGGCGAGAACGTTTGGCGCTGCTGCCAACCCTTCTCCGGGAACAAGGAACAAGGCTACATGAGCCTCAAGGAGAACCAGGTGAGAACCTGGGCCCTGCATGGCTGGGGAGGCTGGCATAGGAGGGAGAGAAGTGGCGGGAAGGTGGGTGAGTGCCCTGGAGAAGGAGGAGGCTTGGAGCCTGGTGGCAGGAGGGAGGGCAGATTAGAAGCTGTGGGACTGGGGACTTCCCTGGTGACCTAGTGGTTAGGATTCCAGGCTTTCACTACCATGGCCTGGGTTCAATCCCTGGTCGGGGGACGGAGATTCTCACCAAGAAAAGAGAGAAAGAAGCAGCAGTGGGACTACTGGGAACTGGGGCTGGTGGCCAGCACAGGCATGGGCTCAGTTATGTCAGAGACAGCTGAGGGAAGAGCACTGGTTTAGGAGTCAGAGGCTTAGGTCTGAACGTTATTGTCAACCACGGGCAAGTCCTTTCCCCGCTGTTACCTCCTCTGGGAAACGGGGAGTTTGTCAGGGGCATTAGACCAGCTGATCTCAAAGGTCAGCCCTGAAGTGCTGCTCCGTGTCTGCTGACTGCCTGGTTCTTGCTGCTGTGCCCTGGATTCTCATGGGATCTGCTCCCATCACCCCGGCTCCAACCACATCTGATGCTGGTCCCATCATCCCCTGGGATGGGCCCCCTGGGAGCCATCAGCAGGACTCAGGGCCGGGGTGGGGGGGTGGGGGGGGGCAGGCAGTGCCAGGCCTCAGCGTTGTGTCTCTCCCGCTCAGATCTGTGTGGGCGTGGCCAGGAGCAAAGATGCTGACGGCTTCATCCGCGTCAGCAGTGGCAAGAAGCGGGGCCTGGTTCCAGCCGATGCCCTGACCGAGATCTGAGAGGAGCCAAGAAAACCCAGAAGCCACCCCTGCCTGTGCCCAGCCCTCCTCACTTCTGGCCCCCCGGTGGGGAGGTTCCCTCTGCTCCTCTCCTAGGGGCCACTCACCATGGCTTGGGAGCCTTCTGTACTGAGAAAGGTGTTATTTCTGGGGTCTTGGGGTGCCCTGAAGAGGTTGCAGCTCTGAGACTTGGGCGTGGGGAGGAGAAAGTGGGAGGGAATGGCAAAACTCCAGGTGGGTCCCCCCAGTCCAGTTGCCATGCAGAGTCCAGCCCTAAGAGGAAGTTCCTGAGGAATGTCAGGGCTGCCTCTTCCAGAGAGCCTGCCCCTGCCCACCGCACCTCTGCATGCCTGACACCCCCCCCCCCCTTCTCACAGAGCCTCTGCTTGGGCCCTTGTATGTGTGACCCTGCAGCTGCCACTTTGGGAGTGGGGCCCTCCCGGGTCCCTCAGCCCCAGCTCTGGGTGGGGAGGGAGCTCAGGGCTGCCAGAGGACCCTGGTCTCATCACCTCTGTCACTCCATCAACTCTCAGGAAAGTCCTGCGGCTCTCTCTCCTGTTACTTGAAACTTGGGTGGACAGAGGAGGGGAGGGCTGAGGTCTCGGGAGCACGTGGCAAATCAGAGGCTGTCCCTCGAGTAGGACAGTCCCCACGGAGCAACCTCACTCTACCCTTGTTCACTGGGAGAGGACACACCCAAGAGTGGCCTGCACACAGAATCCCACCTGGCCCACACCTGATCAAAACAATCCCCATTTCACTGTCAGGACTCTGAACGCTCAGTTCCTGTCCCAGGCCTTGCCAGGCCTGCCCCAGGAACCCCACCCTCAGGACTGACCCTGCAATAGCCCTCCCTTACCCCCTCTCTTGGGGCTCTGTGGGGGACAGGGCTGCTGTTGCAGGGGGCCCTTTTTCTGGCTGCATCTGGTCCCTTTTCCAGGACACAGAGCCCTGGGAGGAAGCGGGAGTGGGAGACAGACAATGAATTCTGTTTGACCACCAGAAAGGGAAGGGGGTAGGCACGCTAGGGGAGGGGGTGTGTGGGGACATGCAAAGAGGACCCCTCCCTTGCAGGTTGCTTTTCTCTGGTGCCAACCTCCCTTCCCGCCCCCCCCCCCTCAAGCTCAGAGCCGCCTCTTGTGCCCTTGATCGTGCCAGCCAATGCCACCCCCATCCTGGGCACAGTCAAACCCTCCCATATGGTGGGAGGGACACATCCTCCTACCCACTGGCCCCTGCCCTACTGCTCCCTCTAAGAGGGGGGAGGAACTCAAGCCACACTGCCCTGTTTGCTGCCATGAGGCCCCCCCCAGCAATATCCCAGGGGCGGGCCGAATGCCCACTGTACATGAGGCTGCATGAGGAGTCTGCTGGGGCATTGCTGAGCCCCCAGACCCCTAATTAAATGTTTCTTGTCCCAACCTGGCTGCTCTATGTATCTATCAACTTGGGTCAGAGGAAGGGAAGGGGTGGGCGTGGCCTGGAGGTGTGGTGGGTGTGGACCAAAATAGGAGACAGCCTGAAGGTCGGAGAATGCGTTCATCTCTGAGAGGAGGGATACAGGGGCTGGTGTGGCCCTGACAGTGAGGGTCCCCAAGTCTCCTCACTCCGGATCTGAGGAAATGGAGGAGGAGGTTTGGGGGACGCTGGAGGGAGAGAGGGTGGGGCTGCGGTCATTTTCTGGTTCGATGTGGACCTGCGTTGCGCAGGGGGCGGGCACGCACCTCCGCGTTTCTGCCCACCCAGAGGTGTCCCCGGAGACCAGCCGAACCCAGGGTCTGGCGGCCTTAATATCCACCGGAGATCAGCCTCGCCCCCGCAGCCCCCTAAGCCCGAGGCAGGTACGTTGGTGGACGGTGCGGCCTTGAGATGACTCAGTCACGCCCATCACTGGGAGCCTGGCGCAAGGGGGCCGCGGTGGCGCCCCTCCCGCCGCGGTGCCCGCCGCCCACCTGCTCGGCAGAGCAGCCTTTCCCCTCCGGCACGCCTGGCCGCGTCATCTCCCAGGCGAGCACGTCCTGGGCTATTTATAGACAGAGGGGCGGGCGGAGGGAGGGAGAGGCGGGCTGCGGGGGTGCCAGGGCAACGGCGTGAAGCCAGAATGCAGAGCGGGTGGGAGCCTGCTCCTCCGGATAGGCACCCATACGGTTCTGCCTTCCAGCCCCCCCCCCCCCCCCAAATCAAGGTGGGTCAGGTGGGACCAGCCCTGGGTCGCCAATCACGCTTTCTTTGGTCCCTTTCATCCAGGAATGATGGGGGTGGGGGGCAGCGGAGGAGCAGGAGGAGGGTGACTCCCCTTCCTAGGACCCTTGATGGTGGGATTGGATAAAAGGGTCACAGACCCAGTGGAAAGGCTTATAAAGAGGGGAACTCACACAAATAGACACCTACTATGTCTGGGAAACTGCCAGGGACTTAATTTTATTTTATCCTCTTAAGGACCCAGTGAGGAAAGAGATGGTGTCCCCTTTTCACAGATGATGAAACTGAGACCTAGAGATATTAGGTGGCTTGCCCATGGTCATACAGATTATCCAGCCCAAACTGTCCCTTTTTTACATGGAGCAGCTGAGGCCCAGAGCAGACTCATAACTTGCCCAAGGTCACCAGCAAATTAATGGTCAAGTTGGTTTCAGAAATTCTATCTCTTGCTTCCCAGTTCAACTCTTCCCCAACTTGACCTTGGGTTCCTCAGGGCCTTAAACCAGTAAGATGGAAACAGAGACCCCTGGAGATGCTGGAGGGCCTCCAGGGTTCAAGACCTCACCCCCTGGAGACAGTCAGAGACTTTCAGCCAAACCTTCTGAACAACCACTTGTGTCCGTACCAGCCGGCAGTTGGCCTGGACCACCACCTACCCCCAGCTCATTTGCCGCACTGCTGAACACAGCAGCTTTTTCGGGTGGCTGAACCACCCAACAGCAGGCTCACAGCCTGGGGGCTGGGAACAGCTGGTGCCCCCGCTGTGGCTGCGGCCCTCCTCTGTGTCCTCTCTGGGGGTGGCAGGAGTAGCAACACCATTGCCCTGGGGTGGAGGATGCTCAGCAACCTCCTGGTGGTGCCCACCCACCATTTGGCTGTTGTCTGTGGCCTCTGTCCCCCCTCCTCAGCCTGAGCTTAACCTGGTTACCCTGAGAGATTAAGGTTATCTAGGTTTAGGAGAGATGCAAAAAGGGGGGAAGTCTGGGGGCCAGAAACAAGAGGCCTAAAAGGGCAGAAAGATGGAAACCAGAGGTGGAGACAGGGAGATGCGGACAGAGTAAGGCCCCCCCATCTTACTAGCACTACTGCCTTTGGCTCCTTCAGCCTTCTCCCCCTTCCTCACCTCCTTAACACCCACTCCCCAATGCTTAGGACGTTGGGGGCACCTGCTGAAGAGTGCGAGGAAGGCAGTGCAAACCTCCCGCCTCAGCTCTCCCTGTGCTTTGGGGAGCCATCCCAGGTGGTTCACCTCAGAGAGAGCACCAAGGACCTTAGCCTTTGTCCAGGCGCAGCAGCTGTACTTGCACCTCTCAGGTGCGGCCCACTCTGAGTCACCCCCCCTCACCCAGGCACATCTGAAGGAATCAAAGGTGGGTGCTGGTGTTCAAGCCAACCTTGGATTCTGGGGGGCCCTCCAGGCATCAGTTTCCTCCTCCAGAAATGAAGTTGGACTTGCTCGGGGAGTCTTTACCTGGGGCCATGAACCCCTTTAAAGGGTATGCAAAATTATATGATGGGACCAGTTGCAAGCTCTTGAGAGAACGGACATGTCTTTTTTCTTTATTTTTGGCTGTGTTGGGTATTTGTTGCTGCGTGCCGGTTTTCTCTAGTTGTGGTGCATGGGTTTCTCATTGCAGTGGCTTCTCTTGCTGTGGATCACAGTCCCTAGAGTGCAAAGGCTTCAGTAGTTGCGGCATGTGGGCTCAGTAATTGTGGCTCATGGACTTCATTGCTCCGCAGCATGAAGAATCTTCCAGAACCAGGGATCAAACCTGTGTCCCCTGCATTGGCAGGTAAATTCTTAACCACTGGACCATGACTTAAGTCCCGAATGGACATGTCATTTCATTAGAAGTTCTCAAGGCTCCAGGACTGGAAGAGACCCAGTGATTACTTTAGGGGACCTGTCTGCTGAGGGGGCCATCCTAGGCACTGCCTGGAAAGGGGTTAGAGGTCGGTGGTGGGAAGAGGTAACCTTAGGCCTGGAGTGAGCTTCAGAAGTGATTAAATGCAAGCCTTCCCAAGAGATAGGCTCCTACAACTTAATTCTTCCCTCCCTCTCCCTTCAGCCCCTCACCAAAGTGAGGCAGTTTCCTACATTTTCAGTGACCTGTGGTCTGGCTTGCCTGGTGGCTCAGATAGTAAAGAATCTGCCTGCAATGCGGAAGACCCTGGAGAAGGAAATGGCAAGCCACTCCAGTATTCTTGCCTGGAGAAACCCATGGACAGATGTGCCTGGCAGGCTACAGTCCATGGGGTTGCAGTCAGACATGACTACGACTACCACTTAACTTCATTTCAGTGACTTGTGAGAGCATAGCACCATCTCCTGGTCCGTGATGGCAACCCTTTTCTGTGCGGGCACCTCAGGAGCCCCAGTGAAGGTTCTAATTGTCCTTCCTATCATCTCTCTACTGCCTGGAGGAGGTGGAGGTGGGTGGCCTTCCATGCCCTTCCTCCTCTGGTCCAGGCATGGGAAGGTATCTCATGCTCCAAGCAGCTTGGTGAAAGTCCTTCTTCCAGGCCACAGCTTCCTTATTTGGAATGATAGGCTTAGAGCAGGTCCTATGGATGCTCTATGCACAGGCTGGTTATGGTGGCAACAGGCAAGCCCAAATCAGTGTCCTCTCAGCCCAGGTTCTGATGCACATGGGTGGTGGTCGAGGTTGTCTGGACTGTTCTGTCTGCACCTCCCTGCCTTGGGTTACCCATCTCCCCACCTGTCCAAACTGGACAAGGAGACTACAGGCAGAGATGGGGACAGGTCTGCTGCCCTCAAGATCACTTTAGCCCTGCCTTTCCCACGCCAAATGCAGATGGGCACACCTGCCCATTACACACCCTGAAGACCCCTTACTAGCCTTCGCATTACTCCAAAAGTTCCTATTGAAGACAGGTGGAAGGCAGGGAAGTAACCAGGAGGGGCACCAGTCATAGCTGTTCCCCTTTCCTTCCCACTTCCCAGCTCCCACTGAAGCTGACACTTCTGTATTTAATTGGTTGACTGATCCCTTCCACCTGAACACCAGTCCCTCAAACTGTTACCCACTCAGTATATTCAAGTCAGCTCTTCAGGCATTCTCCACTGTGACTGGATCCTTCTGACCATCAGACGTCTCTTGCCCAGTCTTCCACAGCTTGAGGCCTGGGAATCAAGCCAGGTTATTCATCTCCTTCTCCCCATCCCTAATGATGCAACACTAATTCAGGCTGAACAGGTGACTCCAACATGTGGCTTAACCTCTTTTCTCATCTGAAAATGGAGAAGCAAATACCCTACTTTAGAATGTTAGAGAATCGATGCAAGTCAATGTAAATGTCTTAGTACTTGGCTCATAGAGCAGATACTTTATTATTACTACCATATAACAGGGAAGATAAAACCTACTTCTCATTTGTAAAGAGTATAAAGTTAACCCAGAATGGCTTTGACAAGTGTGTGTTATGTGCCTTTATTCCAACTCTTGCCAAGAAAGTCTTTTTTTTCTTTGGACCCCTTCTAATGGTTATAAAGCAAAAAACAAAACAGGAAACAGTACCGATAAGGACAGGAAAGAAAAAAAGGTTTAAAAATTAAAAATAGGGATGCTCAAAATGATGGCTTCAGTTCTATCTCAATAAGGCTGTCTAAAGAGCTCAGACAGCAGTTCAGGTTCAGATCACCACCTTCTGGACCGGTGGTGGTTCAATCCCCACTGTCCTGGGGTTCCAAGGCAGCAGACTGCAACTCTGAACCTCAGTGCAGCTGAGGAGCACAAGCATATTATTTTCTGTTTTTAATTAATGTGACAACTCACAACTGAATACCAACCAAAAACCAACATCCAAGACCACGTCTGAGGTGCCACTCACATTCTGCTGTAAACGGCAGTTTTGAGGCACAATATCCGAAGCTTGGGTAGAAGTCATTCCTCCCCACCCTTCAAAGTAGGCCCCCACACACCATGGATGGAGGGGGCATGAGCCTGACCAAGGAAGAAACAAAGCAGGAACCCAAGCAAGGGTCTGTATCCCAGTCCTCAGTTCTGGTCCTGTAAACAGTGAAGACCCCACTGAAGACTTTGGAAGCAGACAGGTAGGCAGATAGAGGCTTGTCTTTTATTGAATGAGTGATCTATGCAATTGCCGAAGCCACTATGTACAGAGAAGAGGGGGAGAACTTTATTTCTTGGTCTCTTCCTCCTTGGACAGAGTCTTGATGAT